ATCTTTAATTCCTCCCTCTAGGCTCAGAATGAGTTGGTTTCCCTCCTATTTGGCAGAACTGCTCCAAACCCACACCTGCCTCACCTAGCCTGCAGATATCAAATCCCAAATCAACCCAGCCACACACCCACTGCACTCTAACCACAGCTCACTTCTTATCCTGAGCTTCCTGACTTCCAAATGCTGTAGCCTTGTGATTTTTTTGTGATTTTGTGACTATAACAGGCTGAGAGTTGCGTAACATGCATGAAGTTGGAATGTCGAAGGTCCACAACTCAATTATCTTGGGCTATCTTACCCCTTTAAATAGCCAATTACTGCCCACTTCTGTGACCTAACATCCTTGTGACCATTAGGTAAATACTTTCGGAAACAAACACCATCCACTAGCCCAAAAGCTTAGAATGTCATCAGGACCTCTGAGGCCTGTAACAGAGATCTCCCCACTTCGCTATAACCTGCCCATGTGATATTGTCACTGACATATTTTAAAAGTGTCTTGACTTAGGACTCTTCATTTTATTTCTATAAAAATCTCATGAGCCCGGCGTGGTGGCGCACGCCTTTAATCCCACACTCAAGAAGGCACAGGCAGGTGGATCTCTGTGAGTCTGAGGCCAGCCTGGTCCACAGAGTGAATTCTAGGACAGCCAGAGCTACACAGATAAACCCTGTCAAAAACAAACAAACAAACAAAAAACCTTAATGAAACTATTACCACATTGGAATATGGAATTTGGGGTAACTTGGATCTACATTCCTGAACCATCATAACTCATAATTCACTGGAGAGTAAACTATGACACTCCCTTTAAGAGTATTTTTTTCCATTGACAGTAATTATTAAATATGCATAGTGGCTATTAATAGCTTAAGCCTCTTTTACTCCAAGACTTGGGAGACAAGGAAGGGGAAAGACTATTAGTATACAGCCAAGGAGAAAATTGTGTTACAAACATCTATGAATTGAAACAGCTGCTCTGTGAGTTGGGCTGACTAAATACATCAAATTCTTTTGCTATTTGGAGCGCCATCTAGAATCTGGAACTAACAGTATTCAAGGGGAAGATTTCATCTGAGTTGAAATCAGCAAGAAAAATGAACAAATCTACCTTCTATTGGTTTAGGGTAAGAATTTAAAATGAATTCCAGCAATGCAGAGCCATTGGTTATTGTTAAACAGAAGAATACACCTGGGGGAGCTCTATAACTGGGGTAGGAGCACCTTAGGATGAGTGCCCGGGAGAGGGATGGGCAGGTGTCAAAAGAGACAGGGACTGATTTCAAGGGGATCCCACTAGCCAAGTCAGGGAAAATCAACATAAATGACAGCAATGGATCCTACCTAATACAGAGAGAGTACCAAAATTCCTCATGTCTACACTGATGACTAAAAAAATAATAAACAAGATAGAAAGAGGGAAGACATATTTCATACAACATAATACCAGTTACTAGGAAAGAACTAAAAAATGACAAAAGTGCCTCTCTGCATTTTCAGAAAGTAGCGATCATTTCCATAATGCTAAAAAGCCTGAGTAAAAGGCAAATGGTGTCATGATTTCAGCATGGCCTTGGCTGTCACCTCACAGATGGTTTATTAACCACAAGGAGGAATGAGCCTGACAGAGAGCTCTGGTAACTGCTCTCTTAATCAAGGGATCAAACAGCAACAGAGACTGAGGCTTGGGCTTAGTGGTAGAGTGAACATGAAACCACCCCTGCCCCAAACAAATGAGCATCAGCGACAGTGACAGTTAAGTTGTTGTGTGTTGCACCAAGAAGCATATAGTATGTAGCATATTCGAAAGCATTTGCACCAAACTAATGAAGACAAAACAGACAGACAGCCTACAGTCTTACCACCAAAGACCAATCTTAGGCCTCATTCCAGACAGCTCATTTAGAATTTGCATTTTAAGATATTCCAATGATTCACAGATATAAAATTTGAGAAACCCTGCATGGGATTAGTCATCTAGCCTATAGATTATCTAATCCTAAATGGTCATATAGAAGAGCAACATTGAATGAGCATAGTAGGTTTATTTATATATACATATATACAGATATATAACAATAATTATTTTAAAGATATATTTTTATGTGTCTGAGTGTCTTGCCTACAGGTGTGTATGTGTTCTCGGTGTGCTAGGCACTAGTGGAGGCCAGAAGAGGGCATCAGGAACACAAGTTATGGGCAGTTGCAAGCGACCATATGGGTGCTGGGAACAGAACTGAGGTCTTCTGCAAGAAATGGCCCATACCAACAATTAAAGATGATGAGGTCATAAATTTGAGGGGGAGCACTGGAGGAAATGAAGGGGGGTGAAAGTGGGGGACACCAGAAAGATAGCTCAGAGGTCTAAAGCAAGTTTTCAGCACCCACATGGTGACTTACAACCATCTGTAACTCAGGTTCCTGGGGTCTGATGCCTTTTCTGCTTTCCATGGGCAATCGGCACACATATGGTGCACATACACACATGTAGGCTAAACTGATGTGAGATGTCCTTCTATTCACTGAGAATATATGTTGTTATCACTGGTTGATGAATAAAGATGCTTTGGCCTATAGCAGGGCAGAATATAGCTAGGTGGGAAATCCAAGCAGAGATACAGGGAGAAAGAAGGCAGAGTCGAGGAGACGCCATGTAGCCGAAAGAGGAGTAAGATGCCAGAGCACTACCAGTAAGCCATAGCCATGTGGCAATATTTAGATTAATAGAAATGGGTTAATTTAAATGTAAGAGCTAGTTAGTAATAAGCCTGAGCCACTGGACAAACAATTATAATTAGTATTAAGCCTCTGAGTGATTATTTTATAAGAGGCTTTAGGACTGGGTGGGACATATAAAAGTCATTCATACACATAAAATAAAATAAATAAATCTAAAAAGAATGTAATTATCCTGATTAGGGGGAAAATTATAAAATACATTTCTTTAGAGATGACCAGAAACTTTTTTTTTTTTTTGAGACAGGATTGTACTATGCAGTGAAATTCCTGGCTGGCCTGAAACTCCCTTGCACACCAAGCTGGCCTGAAACTCACAGAGATCCGACTGCCTCCCTCTCCCAAGTATTGGGATTAAGGGCATGTGCCACCATACCCAGTGGGGCATTATTATTATAGCCAAATTTTACTTTATTCTGAGATTACAACACGAGAATATTTTTTGAGGTGGATGGTGGTGGTACACACCTTTAATCCCAGCACTCAGGAGGCAGACAGACACAGGTGAATCTCTGTGAGTTCAAAACAGCCTGGTCTACAAGATGAGTTCCAGGACAGCCAGAGCTGTTACACAAAGAAATTTTTCTCAAAAGTAAAACAAAAAAATATTTTTTGAAAACTGTAAGTCAAGATGAGAAGGCAAAATAATGATCACTTCCCATTTTTATTTGGTAGCTAACAACAACAAAAAGGATTTAGTGAGTTCCAGTATAGCCAGAGCACCATAGTAAGACTGATAGGGAATGTCCTTCTGTGTATGTTTATCTTTTTTTTATTTTTTTAAAGATTTTATTTATCTATTATGTATACAACATTCGGATTCCGAGAAGAGGGCACCAGATCTCATAATGGATGGTTGTGAGCCACCATATGGTTGCTGGGAATTGAACTCAGGACCTCTGGAAGAGCAGTCAGCGCTCTTAACCTCTGAGCCATCTCTCCAGCCCCTGTGTATGTTTATCTTATTGGCCAATGAAGAAGCAAGTTAGGTAGGACTAGGAGTCAAGGAGGATTCTAGGAAATGTAGTAAAGAGAAGTCTTGTGATCTAGGCAGGAAGTGACATAGCAGGCAGACTCAGAATATAAGCAGGAAATCGCTCTCTTGCTCTTCCTCCTGCTCTCTTTTTCTACGGAGCCGCCACGTGATCCCAGGAAGAGGACACCAGTGGAAGGTGTCCTCAATTAGATAAGTCTTATAAAATATATAGATTTATGATAATTAAGACTGAGCTAGCATATAAGAAATCCTAGTCAATTGGCCAGCAGCATTGTAAACTAATATAAGACTCTGTGTGTTATTCTGGGCGCCCACGTGGCAGCGGAGCTCGGGCGGATGGAGTAAAGACTTGTCGTTACAGTAAGACCTTATTTCAAAACAAAACAAAATAAAACAAAGCAAAACAAAAAAAGAATTTGCTGATAATAGTTTCCTGGAAGCATTCAGAGAAAAAATAAGTACCCACCTATTTGAGTACTGTAGTTATGATTCGATATAATAAGACTAACTTCAAAAGATTATAATATACCCAATTATTCTACAAAACTGTAAATTGTCCAGGTTGTGGTCGCACAAGGCAGAGGCAGGTGGATCTCTTGAGTTCAAGGCCAGTCCAGTCTACAGACTGAGTTCTAAAAGAGCCAGGGATACACAGAGGAAACCTCAAAAAACAAAAAACAAAAACAAACTTCCAAATTAATCTGTGAAAGACTGGCAATTGTTGTCATGGGCTAAATCTAGCCTACTGCTTGTTCTCATGACTAATTTTCTGGCTTTGCAGTGGCAGGATGGATATGCTTGCATTTGTAAATATCTGGGGCAGGTGTGCTCATTTTGGAGTCTTCCTTCATTACTCTCCACTTTATATCTTGAGACAGGACCCCTCACAGAACCTTGAGCTCACTGTTTCAGCTAGACTGACTGATGGGCCAGGCCTCAGAATTTACCTGTTTCCATGCCCTTCCCCCATGCATGGGCCACCATGTCTGACTTTTACATGAATGTTAAGGTCCTCAAGCTGACACAACAAGCACTTCACCCATTGAAGCATCTTCCTAGACCTCATGAATAGTTTTAACGGAACAGTTACAATCATTCATTTACATATTGCTGTTTTAACTATAACAAAATCAAAACATTACAAGAGAGACTGTATGACTCACAGAGCCCAAAATACTTGCCATTTGGCCTTTACAAGAAAAAAAATTGTTGGCCTCTGCTCTAGACAAGCAATCTAAAGAATACAATAGAACCTATTAGACTCACCTGTGGTGTTGTCTTTTTATATTGGTCACCACCATCTATCACATGCCTCATGATTTTCTCCTTGAGAAATTCATATTCTTCTGGACTCAGATGAATAGACTCTAAGACTCTACCACAGCCTGAACACTGGCCACTGTAATTGCAATGTTTTATATTAAATAATGTCTTGGAAAATAAGTTGTTCCTAAAATTAGTAGTTCCAAAGGACAAGGAAACAGAAATGTAATACAAACAAATAAATAAATAAAACTTCTGTTATCATCACATTATTTTTTGTAAACTAAGGCATTTTATGTGTATGTATGCTTTACATTCTTAGAAGAATCACAGGGGCTTCAAGTACTGCTCAGTGGGTAAAGGCATTTGCAGATAAGCCTAACAACTTGATTTCAATCCCAGGGACATGTATGGTAGTTGTCCTGTGACCATCACACAGAATAAAATGAAATTTTAAAGTGGCTTTTTGTCTTTGTTCATTTGTTTAAAGAAAAAGAATCTTAGGGTTTTCTTTCCTGCATGCCTTTGTCTTGTTTCTTGATCAGTCAGGATGCCAACTGAGGCTGTTAATACAGAGAAAACAAGCTGGCTGGATGGGAGCAGAATATTCCGATATTTTCAACTGTGTTTTAGATTTAAATATCAAATCTGAGAGTGAGCACATCACACTCATTTAACCTGCCTGCAAGGTTCACAGATATTCTCCCAGCTCTGCAATTGCCAGTGATGTCAAATTTGTCAATGTGACAGTGCTTCTTCACAATAAGAAACTGGATGCCTCAAGTCCAGCCTAGTAAAGGCCTATGTTCACGATTTTCAGCACTGTCAATACTCTTGAGAGCATCAGCCAAGATAATCGCACACATCATTATGATGACACGAAAAGTCAGCAGAAAGAACTAGATGGAACTTTTAAAGTAACTCCTAAAACACAACTCAGGTCAGCAATATAAAAGCAAATATCTTTAAGGTTTAACACAAACTCATAGTATCAATGGGAAAAACGTTTTGTGCACTCCAAAATCTCTATGTACATGCCTATAAATCCCAACAAGTGGACAGTTAAGGCAGCAGAATTACTGTATGTTTGAATCCAGCTTGGGCTACAAATCAAGACTCTCAAAAACAATAACAGAGATGATTTCTCCCCCTCAGGAACTTTAACTATAAATTCTCGAATATATAAGATGTTTTTTAATATTTTTTTAATTACTAGAAGGTCGTCCCCACCCCAAAGATTTATTTTTAACTGTGTGTGTGTGTGAGCGTGCGCTCGCATGTGCAGGCAAGATGCCTGAAGAGGGCAGAAGATCCCCTGGAACAAGAACTACAGGCTGTTGTGATCCACTAGATGTGGGTGCTGGGAACTGAACCAGATCCTATGGAAGAGCAGGAAGAGCTCTTAACCACTGAGCCATATCTCTAGCCCTTCTTATTTTTAAGCTAATACCAACAGAACTTATTACATCAGAATCAAAGAAACTGAATACAAATAATGGTCTTTACCTTTTCTGGACTGTAGTGAATTGTCCTTTCCATTGTCTTCCAGGAATACTACAAAAAAAAAAAAAAAAAGATTATAAAATCAGATTATCAGAAAGTTAAAAATTTCTACTGAACCTAAAGACAGACCATCACCATATTTAGACATTCTGTAAGGAAGAGCTCTGAGATGCTCAGAATACTTCCTTAGGATGGCTTTCACAATGGCTTCTAGGCTGTGGTTGGGGCTAAGGACCAGACAGCATTCAATTAGAAATGTCTAAGGGTGGGCATGATGGCGCATGCCTTTATTTCTAGCACTGGGGGCAAAGGCAAGCAGATCTCTGTGAGTTCAAGACCAGCCTGGTCTACACAGAAAACTCCAGGATAGCCAGGGTTACATAGACACCCTGTCTCAAACAAAACAACAACAAAAACTCGAGTCTAAATCTACATTCACTAGAAGTATACAAAAAGTAGAGATAATATTTAAACCACACTCAGCTCTGACCGTCTTCATAAAGCTGCTAGACATGGTACCTGCTTGGAATAATTTCTCTTATCTCTTGGACTGCTGCTACCTCATAGACCACTGTCAGGAACGGCATTCCTAATTAGGTTGAGAATGGCATCTCAATAGATATTATGCCAGAAATACACACGGTTTTAGTATAATTGACGCCCAGAAATGTTATTGATATGTTCTCTCAATCACCAAACCTTGTCCTCTTACACAAACCACCATTACTTTCTATTGATTCTTGATCCTATTGCCTTCTTTCCTTCACAAGTTAATTCAGTACCTCATGACCTCTCAAACAAAGTATCAGGAGTATCAGGATGGATCAGGAATTGCCCATCCACTCTAATCATCCTCAGGGATTAAAAACAGGGATCACAGGACAGCTATAAGCACATTATTTCCATCACTACTTTTGGAAATATGAATATGATCATTGGGTAAAGTGTTTGCTGCACAAGCAAGATCTGAGTTTGGGCTCCTGGAATCTCTGTACAAGCCTGGTACGGCAGCCTGTACCTGTAACCTGTACCTGTAACGTGGGAGTGGAGACAGGCAGACCTCAGGTCTTGCTAAACAATTAGTCTAGACAAAATGCTAAACTCTAGGCCAGGCGGTGGTTGTACATACCTTTAATGGCAGCACTTGGAAAGCAGGTGGATCTCTATGATCAAGGCCAGCCTGGTCTACAAAGGAAGTTCCAGGACAGGCCCCAAAGCTACTCAGAGAAACCCTGTCTTGAAAAACCAAAACAAACAAAATACTAAGCTCTAGTAAGAGACTGTCTTAAAAGTAATGTGGACTTGGACTAGAGAGATGGCTCAGAGGTTAAGAGCACTGCCTGCTCTTCCAGAGGTCCTGAGTTCAATTCCCAGCAGCCACATGGTGGCTCACAACCATTCATAATGAGATCTGGTGCTCTCTTCCAGCATGGAGGTTTGTATACACAATAAATCAAATATTAAGAAAAAAAGTTATGTGGACTTTGATAAAAGATACCCAAAGTCAAACTGTTCTTCATACCTTCAAGTATGCATCTGCATACACGGGTGCATAGCCCCCCACACACACACAAACCTAAGCCCATTATTCATGTTAAATGTCTCAGAAAATAAAATAAAGGATAATTCTGCTGGGCGTTGGTGGCGCATGCCTTTAATCCCAGCACTTAGGAGGCAGAGGCAGGCGGATCTCTGCGAGTTCGAGGCCAGCCTGGTCTCCAGAGCGAGTGCCAGGATAGGCTCCAAAGCTACACAGAGAAACCCTGTCTCGAAAAAAAAAACCAAAAAAAAAAAAAAAAATTACTACTACTAATAATGAAATAAAGGATCATTCTAAAAGGAAGAAATCTATTATATAAAAACAAAAGGTGCAAGAAATCAGAGAAACATCACCCTTTACAATTGCCACAAACAACATAAAATACCTTGGGGTTACACTAGCCAAACAAGTGAGAGACCTGTATCACAAGAACTTTGAGTCTTTAAAGAAAGAAATTAAAAAAGATACCAGAAAAATGAAAGGATCTCCTATGGTCTTGGATAGGTAGGATCAACATAGTAAAAATGGCAATCTTGCCAAAAGCAATCTACAGATTCAATGCAATCCCCATCAATTCTTTACAGACCTTGAAAAGACAATTCTCAACTTTATATAGAAAAACAAAAGACCCAGGATAGCCAAAACAACCCTGTACAATAAAGGAACTTCCAGAGATATCACCATCACTGACTTCAAGCTCTATTATAGAGTTATAGTCCTGAAAACAGCTTGGTATTGGCACAAAAATAGACAGGTAGACCAATGGAATCAAATTGAAAGCCCTGATATTAACACACACACCTATGAACACCTGATTTTTGACAAAGAAGCTAAAATTATACAATGGAAAAAGAAAGCATCTTCAACAAATGGTGCTGGCATAACTGGATGCTGGCGTGTAGAAGACTGCAGATAGATCCATGTCTATCGCCATGCACAAAATTTAAGTCCAAATGGATCAAAGACCTCAACATAAATCCAGCCACACTGAACGTCTTAGAAAAGGTAGGTGGTACCCTCGAACAAATTGGTACAGGAGACTGCTTCCTGAATATAACACCAGTAGCATAGACACTGAGATTGACAATTAATAAATAGAACCTCCTGAAATTGAGAAGCTTTTGTAAGGCAAAGGACACAGTCAACAAGACAAAACGGCAGCCCACAGAATGGGAAAAGTTATTCACCAACCCCACATCTGACAGAGGACTGATTTCCAAAATATACAGAGAACT